CCCACAGTGTTTCTCCTACACAGTACCAATGCAATTCAAAGGAATATACATATATATCTGTATGCATATATAGCTATAAATATACATAAATATTTGCTAGTTTTCGGGGTCAATTAAAATAATTTTAAGTGCTCGCATGTCCAATCGATCAATGTGCATAGCAAATGGGAAACACATTCACTAGACAACAGCTGCTGCTACAGCTCGAGCAACTGGCCAACTGGCCAATTGGCCAACTGACCAACAGGCCAACCAACCATTCATCAGTTTCTGTACTTTGAGACATTTTGGCGAACAAGTTTCAGCTATCGTAATTGGCCCGGAAAAAGCTTAAAGCCAAATATTTACACACACAGCACGCAGCGAAACTGATGAAAGAGTTTTCCAGCTCAATAATTGAAAGCGAAATTTCTAAGACAGGTCCACTGAAGCACCAATACAACCACACCTATTCATTGGCTAAGATAAAAAGAATAGAAGTGCAAAAGACCCAAACAAATATGTATATGCCGAATGAATAAATAAAAATAGGCCATCATGCGTAGAAAGCTGGCTTGACTGCTTCAAGTTAAAAAAAATAAAAATCAAGCCCATATTAATATTTCGTACATCAAAACATTTCTACCACTAGTTCTCCTACTTTTTGTGTCTCGTCTATCCGTACATTTGCAGGCATTCTCAAAAGTCCTGAGTCCTATGCTGTCAAGTCTGGAAAATTGTAATTTCCGTCAAAGTTGGCTTAGCTTCCTTAATCCTAGTTATTCTTCCATGGGAAAAAATTCCCTTCCCATTATAACAAATTCAATCCTTAATATTGATATAAAAAGGTCTTTCTCTCTCTCTCTCTCTCTCTCTCTCTATTTCTTATAAACACAAGTATATATATACCGAAATTCATATTCGCGGTAATTGTCCTGCCATTTTCCAATTTTTCTCTTCTCCGTTCAGTTTTCTACCCCCGTCTCAATAGTAGTAATTGTTGATTAAATGGATGCTAGTCTACCGGTACTCAGTTTGCACTTCTATTTTCCGTTACCGGTTCCCATTACCAATTCAGGCGTTTGCTTGTCTGGTGACTCTATTGTCAAAGCATTTAGCGATGCGGTGTTCGATACGAACACCGAACACTAAGCAGAGTCGGGGGGCATGTCCAATGACTTGGCTCATTGCAATTTTGCACGTGAACTTGTTAAGAGCAAAAACCACGTCATGAAATTCAAATCGAACACTTATCGTCAGAGTCCAAAAAAGAAACAATGAAACAAGAAACAATGAAAGTCTTCGTAAGCCATATATAAAATATTCGAGTTACCTAGTACCTAGCAAATAGACATACGAACGCGCCTAGATCAACTCATCATTCTCATCATGTTATACCCTGATTTCTAATTTTCAATGGGTTCACAGCAGAATACAAAATATATAAGATACATACAATCAAACATAAAATGCTATTTCATTTAATTTTTATATATTCCTTCTTACTATATTAATTTTTATACTTTTACTCATCTTGTTTAACAAGTAAAATCATGAAAACTGCAAAGCCGAAAGACATTTCGAAAAAATACTTTTTAAATTACGCGCTCTGCCACGAGTGCCATAGCAACGAGCTTGTTACATGCTCACAATAGTACTGCCCATCAGCTTTATGTACATTTTTGAAAGGCCACCAATGCTGCCCATTAGTATTTATCGATTTTTTAATTTCGCGCTAACCAGCAATTTTGTAATTATTTGATAAGTTTAATTGAATTTATTGACAACAATCTATATGCCACTTATCGAAGCAATCCAATCCCTTACTGCCGACACTTTGGAATAAACACCAGGATATTTGGGCTTTGCACAGCCAAATCCCCAGGAGACAACGCCCCATAATTTACCATTGACGGCCAACGGCCCGCCGGAGTCCCCTTGACAGGCATCCTTGCCACCTTCGGTGAGACCCGCGCATAGCATACGGTCCGTAATGTAGCCAAAATGCTCATAGGCTAATGTGCATTGGGTCTGATTCACCGTGGGCACGGTGACAGCTCGCAGCACATCTGACGATTCCTCGGCATTTTGAGTATTGCCCCAGCCGGTGATTGTAACCAATGTGCCATCTGGAAGATTCTCATTCTGTTCAGGCAGCTGGGCAAATGCCTGGGTGACGTCTGTGCTATTATAGGGCGCCAGCTCTAGCAGGGCATAGTCATAGTCGATTGTTCGTGAATTGTAGTCGGGATGACGGTGAATACGCCGTATGTTGACGATCAGGCCATCCTTCTCTTTGCGCGTGGCACCGACGCGCACCTTCAAGGACTCCACACTAGCGCTCTCCACACAATGGGCGGCGGTCAGTGCCCAGCCGACGCCAATCAATGAACCGCCGCACATGTGAAAACTACGCTGCAGTGAAATTTGATACGGATAATCCTTAATAGACACCTGAACGCCACCCACAATGCGTCCATCCTGTCGCAGCTTGGGCACAGCCGGCACAGTCAGGCAGCCAACGCAGGTGAACAGGAGCAGCGGCAGGAGCAGCGTATTCCAACTTAACGACATGTTCGATTCCGAGTGGATAAGCGTTATGCTAGCTCTGCGGTTATTAGGAATGCTTATATAGACGCCGCCCAATGGGTTATCAATCTATCAAGCTCATTTTCCAGGGTCAATCATCGTAGCCGCGTAGCGAAGGTATCCACTTGGCCTAGTTAATCCGTCGCCGATACTCATAAAATTTTATGGCCCATAGACGATGATATCGACGTCATCGAGAATGTTATCTAAGCCCAATTCTATTGTTTGAAAAAGACAATTCAGGGTCTTGTTTTTCCCTCAAAATTATGCCAAATATATATAAATTGGCAGTAATATAAACATATTTTACTCTATATTCATATATATATATAGAGCAACAACTCGCACATATATAGATATGGTAATCCACAATATTATCATGTATCTTACTTAAGAAATCATGTTCTTTTTAAAACTTATACAGTTTATACAAATATATTTGATATGGAGACAGACTCTATTACTAAAGTACCAGTCAATATAATCAGGATATAATCAACAACAAGGGCTTATAGGCTGGACTCGATAGTACGATAAAGAATACGTTAAATTTATATAAATACCTTTTGAGATATTGCAAAATTATACCGGTGATTCATCAGATTGTTCAGCTATCTCAACTTCTGGTTTCCATTTCCGCTAGTTCCTCTAAATTTACATATGTATATCCAGATTGTAATGCACTTCCTTATAGAAAGATTACGAAGTGCATGCGTTAAATCCTCTTTTTTTAATCTTTTTGTTACAGATTTTCCACTAAGACGCGTTGATTTGTGTGGAATCAATCAGCACAGCCGCCAAACATTACAAAATATCAGGGAAGAAAGCGAGCGCCGTATATGTAGAGAATACTCCTACTCTCCTGCGATTCACACAATTCACGCTGCAATGGCGTTCGCTTACAGCTTTAGCCAGGTCAAGAACTTATTGTTGGACGGCATATCGGTGACTCGTTCCAGCCGCAAGCCATTCAAATCGGCCAACTGCTTCAGATCCCTGATATCCCGTATGCCCCACTCACTATTGCGACTCCTCAAGCTCGCATCGAAGTCGACATTGCTTTGGGGCGTCAATTGGCCGTCCTGGGCATAGGGTCCATAGGTGAAGAGTTTGCCGCCCGGTTTCAGCAGCTGGCCAGCAGCACGAAATAGTCCCTCCGAACAGTTCCATGGCGTAATGTGCATCATATTGCAGTTCAACATATAGTCATAGCTGGCGGGCTTTAGCTGCGCCCTCGTCCCTTCCTCCCATTGCTGCAGCTCCTGCGAAATGTCCACAAAGAGTGGTGGACAGATATTACCAGTTGCACAGTCGGCGGCATATGCCTTAATCGAACTGAAATCTCTGCGCTCATATTCCGTTGTTTGAAAACTGATGTTCGGTAGGAGGGGGGCCAAAAAGCCGGCATGCTGACCCGAACCGGACGCGATCTCCAGCAATCGTAGATTTGGTGTACTCTTATCCACCTGTTGCAGCAAGGCCTCCGATATGGGTTGAGAATTCCGATCTGCCGAAGGATGTGTGCGTTTTATAGCGCTGCGAAGCGTCGTCACATGAAACAAACATCGAAAGTGTTTTGTCAGACTGTGTGCGATGTTTACTGCATGAATAAGTTCTTGGTTTCATTGTAATTCAAGCAAATATTTTACCTCATATTTAAAATTGATTATTAGCAATTTATTCCCAAATTCACTTACGTATTTGCTCTTAAATTGCTTTATTTTACTTTCTTGGCGCTGCCCGGCTACGAACTTATCGATATGCCAGGGCTGCAGTATCTCGTGAGCCGATACAATACAGTGAGCCAATCATGTGCCTTTATGGATTATCACGAGTTACTTATAGCTTACAAATTCATTTTCAGAAATAAATATTGTAACAGTAAACAAATTTAATAATATTAATATAATTTTATAAACAAAATATATTTAGTATTTTATTAATACTTTCTTTGTCATTATATATCGGAAGCATACCGATATATGTGAAATTTCTCATATGGCAGTGCCGTTTTATCGCCTTGCCGCCACATTCGGTAGTGAGACAAAATTTTGTCAATTTTAATTGGGTATTGTTTTTGTTGAATCAATTGTTGCAACCAAGAAAGCTGCTCAATGTCTGATAACGATGATGATTTCATGTGCGACGACGATGAAGATTACGGCCTGGTAAGAATTGCTACATTTCGCAGTATTTGAATTTGTATCTACGGTATACCTCAAAACCCGGCGTCGTCTGCATGGGTTTCTCTTTGTGACTTCAATTTTAGGAATACTCGGAGGATAGTAACTCAGAACCGGACGTAGATCTAGAGAATCAATACTACAATAGCAAGGCACTCAAGGAGATGGAGCCCACAGCGGCGCTAGCCAGTTTCCAAAAGGTGCTCGATCTGGAGAACGGCGAGAAGGGCGAATGGGGCTTCAAGGCGCTGAAGCAAATGATTAAAATCAACTTTAGTCTGGTGAGCCTTAAGTGGGCTGCAAAATAGAATATTTATGAACTATGACCCTTTCACCCCCTATCTGTAGAGCAACTACAAGGAAATGATGGTGCGCTACAAGCAGCTGCTCACCTACATCAAGAGCGCCGTCACACGCAATCACTCCGAGAAGAGCATCAATTCCATACTGGATTACATATCGACGTCCAAGAATGTAAGTAAGAAAGATGTGAGACATGATAAACGCTGACCCTAACTGGTTTAATATCGTATATGTACTTTCATATGTATATTAACTATTTATATACGAAAGTAGTTTTCTCTGTTATTCCTTGCCTACGGAATGTTTTATGCTTTGACTTTGATGAAGAATGTCTAATGTTGTATTTTATACATTATCTTAATCATAATAAGCTGCAGCAGCTGTTTGGCTGCTTCAGCAGAATCAACTTTGCAAAGATAATATTACCTTTTATAGAGAATCAAGTTCTTGTTTATAAGCAAATAGCGATACAGGTCTTTACAGATAGACACATTATATATAAGTAAAGTCATGTGTTTTTTTATATATTTAGAACATTTTGTAATATGGAATATGGGCAAAATGTTTAAATGTTTAATGTGTATATAGAAATGAAATTATCCTAGTATATAGCTAATATTAATTGAATTATTTGAAAGAATTTAAACATAAATTATTACATTTTCAGATGGAATTGCTGCAGAATTTCTATGAGACCACTTTGGATGCATTGCGCGATGCCAAGAACGATCGTCTGTGGTTCAAGACGAACACGAAACTGGGCAAGCTCTACTTTGATCGCAACGACTTCACCAAATTGCAAAAGATACTCAAGCAGTTGCATTCGAGCTGCCAGACAGACGATGGCGAGGATGATCTGAAGAAGGGCACCCAGCTGCTAGAAATTTATGCGTTGGAAATCCAAATGTATACGGTGCAGAAGAATAATAAGAAATTGAAAGCCCTCTATGAGCAATCTTTGCACATTAAATCGGCCATACCTCATCCACTGATAATGGGCGTAATACGTGAGTGCGGCGGCAAAATGCATTTGCGTGAAGGCGAGTTCGAGAAGGCGCACACCGATTTCTTTGAGGCGTTCAAGAACTACGATGAGAGCGGATCGCCCAGACGCACAACCTGCCTGAAATACTTGGTGCTGGCCAATATGTGAGTGAGAGTGCGAATAACTTGAGAATAATCATAAGCAATTAATTGATCATATTGTCTCTGACAGGCTAATGAAGTCCGGCATCAATCCATTTGATTCGCAGGAGGCCAAACCGTATAAGAACGATCCTGAAATATTGGCCATGACAAACTTGGTTAACTCATACCAAAACAATGACATCAACGAGTTTGAGACTATATTGCGCCAGCATCGCAGCAACATAATGGCCGATCAGTTTATACGCGAGCATATTGAGGATTTGCTGCGCAATATACGCACCCAGGTGCTCATTAAACTGATCCGACCCTATAAGAATATAGCCATACCGTTCATAGCCAATGCGCTAAACATTGAGCCGGCCGAAGTGGAGAGCCTGCTCGTTTCCTGCATACTGGATGAGTACGTTGATCACCGAATACCGATATTATTACTGTGTAACTCTATTAACATTATACTCCGCAGCACCATCAAAGGGCGGATCGATCAGGTAAACCAGGTGTTGCAGCTGGACAAGGTCAATAGCAGCGCTGCTCGGTACAATGCACTGGAGAAATGGTCCAATCAAATTCAATCACTGCAATTCGCTGTAGTACAGAAAATGGCTTAGACATAAGGCAACGATTAAAATCTAATGGAAATTCTGAAAAATTTCAAATCAAATATAGTCTTACTAAAACATTTGCACAGTGCATGAAACAACGCCTCTATATATAAATGAAGTATATCAATGTTAAGGGCTTTCAAGATAAAGCTGCGATAAGCACAGGTTGTTCTATCATAAATATGTATGGCCGATAAGCAATTGTATATGACTCGAATGAAAAAATAACAAATATTCAAAGCGAAACCGATTTATAACGTAAAGGAAAATATGGAACCGCCGGTTTAATTGCTGCTTTTGTCGCTGTGGATTCTTATTATGCGAATTTTCGGATTGAATTTTTGAAGAGAAGCTTATCAGAACTTCTTTCATCAAAACAATTAAACTTTTCGGAATAATATTAATAAAATTTAAATAAATTAGGCATAGACAGGTACTTTATCAGGCGAATCATTATAATCATTCACAATAGTAAAGCGAGTATATTAAGTTATTTATATCTTATTGTTTTCTGCATTTCTAACCGCCTGTTCGTCCGCATGAATCCAAAGCTAATGAAGGTGGAGACTTTAAATCAATGCCCATTGCGGGTGTGGCAGACCAGGTACAGCTATATACATATCTGTTGCACTGTTGAAGCTGGTTGATCTCTATTGCTTTGCAACAGATATGAAAACATTGAAATGATTGTTTTAAAGCTTTATATAAATATCAATATTTAAATATAAAGACCACAGCTAGGATTCAGTCAATAAAACAAAAGAGGATTGTGAAAAGTGAACTGTTTCAAAATGAGTAGCATAGACAATAGCAAATTAAAAGAAAAATAAAATCAGATTTCAACTTTAATTAAGCAACTTCAGCGCCTGATGTGGCCGTCTGCCGCACTTCAATGGAAGAAGTTTTGCGACAGCGCTCCTGCATCCATAATCTTAGTCTATAGATCCAGAAGATGACGACGCAAAAGAATAGCGCCAGCACAATGCAGCCACAAACGCTGCCAATGGCCAAGCCCGGCCTCTCCCAGTCCAGAATGAAATATATATAGCGATTACCAAAGCTGCAAATGCAATCGAATTAGAGAGCAATCAAAAGGGAAATCAAAAAGCTCACAAATCGGTGCCGCCGGCCCCGAAATAGATAACCGAGAACAGGCCATAGACGAGGCCCACCACGAGCGGATAAACAAAGTGCATCAGGCGAGTGGGAAAGGCCACGACGAAGCAATCGAAGAGCATGCAAATGGAATTGAACGCATGCGCCCACAGATTGTACAGTCCAACGGGACCGTCAGACATGCCTAAAACGGGATTGATTGATTAATAATAGATTCTTTAGCAACACTATAAACGCTTGGGCTGCTCACTGGGATAGAGCGCTGTCCAGAAAACCAACGTTATCATCAGGGCCAAAACTGTTGTCGTAAAATGCGAGCACCAGTATATCCTAAGAGCCCAGCTGCCAGAGACTGAAATGGAAATATATTAAATATAACTAATTTCATATGTAACAGTAAATCCAGCAAACACAAATAAGAATAATTATGCCTGTAGAAGTACTTAATCTTCACTTTAAAACCAAAAGCCGACAGATGAATTAATATTTAATAAACAATTTGATTTCGATGCAATATAATAATAATTATTTTTTGAAAATTAAAGTTTGAGTATATTATACCCTGAGTACTAGGAAGATTATAAATACTTTGAATGCTGGAAGTACTAAAAATACTTCAAAAACTTTAAAAATGTTCGTCTAATGCCGAAAAAAAGGTATTCACACTCATTTCATATTCAATAATCTTTTTAATATTTATTCAGAAAATGATTAATTAACTTTTCAAATTTAATTTGGAGCTATATTTTCATAGGTATTTAAAATGACTTAGTGATCAATTTCTAGCTAGAAAATTATAAAAAAAATGCGTAAAAAATTGTACAAAATATTTGCTTACCGAAATAGCCGGGCTTTATAAAGTATATGGTGGCCAGAATGGCGCCATAGGCACAGTCATAGAAGCATAAGGTGAAACCCCAATCGGTTAGATAGATGAACCATGTGCCTTCATTGAATTGATCGACCAGACTGCTAATGACCCCAGCTGCAAAGAAGGCCGCCAGGAGCCAACGATAGATCAGCCAGATGAAAGAGCGTTCGCTGCGCTGCCATTGAGAGCGACAAAAGTCGGCGGGCTGATCGTGGTACAGTGAAAACTTGGCACACTGAAACTCATCCACCAGTGGCTGGCAGCAGCAGGTTTGCTGGCTGGTATCGCGCATCACGCCCGCCGGATGGACTCGATGTCTGCGTAGCTGGACAAGAGCTGCTAAAGCCGACCAGAGCAAATGGCTGACGCGTCGGTAGAATGTCAACTGCCGCAGCCAGGGCCAGAGTCGAGCCAGTAGGCCTGACAGTTTGACATTATTTCCGCAAATTGTTGTAGCCAAATGGCAATTCGAGTGTTAGCTTATCAGCTGGTGATTCTTATCACCAGTTATGTCTGACTGGAAGGTACTTCCAGCCAATCTATGTATATATCGCTGATAGCTTCCAAAATAGCCGTTTAGCCGGTATCACTGATGTTGGCCAACTACTCGGACTGACTTGGCTAACAGTCAGTGTGTGGCGCCAGGCCTGAATACCTTCCCACGCTTCTCAGTAAATCCCGACACGCGCTAAATGTGCTTTCAATTATTTAACAGCATTTTGTGAATTTTTGCAGATGATTCATTGGAGCAATAACAATAATATCAATAGTTTTCATTTTTTTTTTTTTTTTTACAGAAAATATATGATAAGAAGACCCTATCACAGTCAAAAGTAATTCCCCACTTGAACTTATCATCCTAAAAAAAAAGGCATTTCTACAAAATAGTAATTGATTATCGCATTTTGAACATGTAACTCGTGTGCTGAACAATTACCAATTCCGTTGAATTCGTCAAATGAAAAAAAAATAAATAAATAAATATTAATAAAAATATAGCAACCTTGAGTTTTAGATAAGATGACAACGCGGAACACGTTGTTAGTTAAACAAAACAAATTTATGATAATAATTTCGCAGTTCATTCATGACGAATATCTCAAAGCGTTGATATAATTATTTACCTTGATTAAAAACAAAAAAGTTGACTGACTTATCAAAAACATCATATTTACTTGCATAAGAATATTTAAATTATATATGTATGTAATATTTTTAAAAGTATGTCTAGTTCAAAATATATAAATAATATATTACAATAATAGAAATGTTATGTACATGATACTACTACTAAGGGAGAAGGTCGAGCCTCTAAAATAGAATGTAGCTACGAATATAGACGTATGTTTATACCACAATTTATTTTTGTAATTGATTTAAAATTTAAATAGAAATATTTAAACCGAATTGTTATTTTCCTAGCTGTCTATCATAATTTGTAATAGATTTTTTGCACACGCAAATCAAAAATTGAAATTTAAACATTTCGCCTGGATCTGATTGCAACGGACATGCAATCAACAAATATCAAATACAGTTTTTATTTGCGAATAGCAAATGGAATGTGATTTTGGTACGGCTCGGGTTGGAAATTCAAATTAACAACTTTTAAATTATGCAATAGCGGGAAGTAGCAGATATCAGTGCTAGATACAATACGATAATTGAAGACACTTTCAATTTCTAAATCAAAATAGAACAATTTCTAAGTGTCTTCGGGTCAATAGCAAGGTCAGCAAAGAGGGGCGTATAAATGGAACAAATACAAGTGCAAATTTGTGTATGACACCTTATATATTGTATATATGTATGTACATATAGTTGATGTACAAGTTTGGAATTTTCAACACAGAGCAATTTGTAATCGATCCCATGTTTATTAAACTGACCCTCAACTGCTTAAATTACGTTTGCAAATTGAAATATCAGATCCAATCAACAACAAATTTCTGGTGTAATAAGTTGTATTATTTACTGTTTAATGCAGGCGAATGAAGAAATATTTACAAAATATGTATATAAATAATAAACATTTATTATCAATTCCACTAAGTATTTTGATATTGAAACAAATAGAGAAAAATTATAAATGATTTAACTAAAATATTTTGCAAAAAAAAGTCTGATTTCTTTTTAAAACACTTTCCCAGCCAATTGCTAATAAGCTGAATGTGGGTCAAACCTAAAAAAAAAAAAAGAAAAAAAAAAACAGAAATTGAAAAAAAAAACTTTATGGTTAAAAGCATTTTTTTTGGAATTTGCGACTCCCATAGTTTGCTTGCATTTGAGCACTCACATAATTGGGAGAGCTCAGAGCTTTAATTGGACGACCTCCAGGGCTTCAAGTTCAATAAAGTCAGCTCAGCAGCTGATGTATGCTTTATATGGTATGATGACAAACGACGCTGCTGCTGTCAATAACACTGATATCATATCATTCGAAATGATTCCCACAGCATCATGTTTTTGGATGGAGCACTTAACAGATCGGCGACTATTTGACACTCACTTTATATACGTATACGTATATATGTTTTTGTTTTTGTTTTCAGTTATTGGTTTTGTGTGTGTGAATATTAACGATATGCCTTTAATTAAATTATTTAGTTTTATTATTGCTATGCCTATACTTTGTTCATAAAATAGATATGTTGACTATATTAAAAAAAAGAATAAGATACTTAAGAATTTTTTTGAATTATTCAACTGAAATTTAACATTTTAAATTTATTTTTTAAATTAC